GGCAGTTTTGCTGTAAGCTGACAAGCGTCCGCTATAATTGAGCAGAAAACAAAAACGATAGTGCGCGAAAAACTGGCGCACATCATCGACCATCCTTTTTTTTTGCTTATAAGTTACGAGTAGTGCAGAATGCGCAATGAATGCTAAGTAATTTTCGTGGTAGCAATGGAATTGGCCTTTAAATGTGGTGGTTCTCTTGCGCCTCGGAAGTCAAACGTCCTCCTCAAAGTGGCTTCCCTTGAAAGAGCGATAATTTGGCAAGCAAGGGCACATATACGCCCATGGCATTCATAGCAAAAAAAATTGCATTAAAAATTCATTTAATTCTAGGCATTTATGATATATCGCCAGCTCTCCCTCTCTTCCAGTTGTAGCTGCTGTCCAGTTGCGCCCCCCCTCCCTTCCTTCTCCCCCTCCCCATCGCCCTGTCTTTTCCTTGCCCTGCCTTTTCCTCCTAATAAATACTGCTTATACAAGGCAGAGAGCACCAACACATTCCTCGAAAATTCCATAAAGTATTCCAGCAATTTCAATTAATTCGTGGCCTTTTCCGTGAACTTATCCCGGCTCCGGATTGCCTAATTTATTCTAAAATACAGCTCGCATTGCTGCGCTAAGCATTTGGGAGCATCCTAGTAATATCACTAACAGGGAATTACGCACACCGATAGTCCGGGCGGTCTTGGTATTCTAAAATCCAGGATATTTTATTGGCAAGAAAGATATGAATGCAATCTTCACGTACATCTTCACGTTTTTTGCGTTCCTCTTCCAGAAGCCGTTTCACTTCGTCCGCTTCATCTTTTGCCGCTTCGGCCTCCTCACGCGCTTGGCGCATCTTCTTTTTGAGCACATCCAAAAGTGAGGTCTGTTGAGCTCCTGCCTTCTCCGGCTTCGACATTTTTGACCGGCTGCAACGATAAAACAACATTGAATCGAGCAGCTGCCGCGATGAAGCCACAAAGTGAGCAAATGTCAAATTCCCTACAATTCAGGCACACTTTCAAATAGAAGACATTCATGGAAAGGCCAGTTTCCTTTTCGCAGCATGCCCCCCCCCCCCTTCCTTGCTGTCCGTCTCCCTCCCCATTCACTGTCCCGTGCAATATAAAAGATCAAATTCGTAAAAAATAAAATAAAAGGCTCTGAAAAAAACGTAATAAACGGAGCGAGGCACGAAGTGAGGGAGCTGCATGAGGAGAAGAGCTCTGCTCTCGCTGTGCGCTGTACAACGGCGAAGCGGACATTCCTCATCCAGAAAAACCGGTAATCGCTCTCCAGTACTCAAGATACAGCAATGCTTCGAAACAAGCTGCACAAGCAAATCCAACAGAAAACAACGATCTGTTTGTGTGTATGTGTATGTTTGTGTCTGTATGAATTTTTGTATGTGTATGTACGCCTGTGTCTGTGCATATTTGTGTATGTGTGTATGTTTGTGTGTGTGTTTGTATGTGACAATTTAGTTGTATTTGCGGAAGGTATTCGCTCGCATTTGGGATCAG